TCTTCTGAACACATCTCAAGGTAGGAGCTAAACAACTCCAGGAAGGACAAACTCCTGGCTCAGAAAGATGGCTGCAATATGAGGATTAACTCAAATCCTGTCCTTCCTGCTTTCGTCATGACTACTGAATGTTCATAACATCTTTAGGAGTCTCTGGTAGGAGCTCTTGGGTCAAAAGAGAGAAGAACCAAAATGGCCTTTGAAAAATAACTAAAAGAGACCAAAGACCCCACAAAGTACCCATTTTCTTTGGAGAAATTCCCTCATTCAACCCATTCAAATCACCAGCCCTGTTCAAAGAGATGTGCTTTAAAGCCAGGAATAATATAAATGGAAGCTGCACCCTAACTTTAAGAAATCAGATCACAAAATGAGCTTAGCAGATGCATGGGAAAAGAGTCTCCATTCCAAAACATGCACATTGGCAGCTAAMAGAAAGTTCAAGGRACACACCAACCCTACAAACTCATGACTGTTCGTACCCAACGCAAGTACCGGGACARTTTGGTATAGACACCATATTTGCCTTTCCTTGCACATCCTTCACCCCAGCTAACAATTCCAGTAACAAAATAAGTGTCTTTATATCTGGTCACATGGGGGCCACCACTGTCTCCTTGGCAAGCATCCTTTTGCTCTGTCTTATAACCAGCACAGAACATGTTCTCAGTTATTGCAAAGTTTGTGGATTGCTTGCACATGTTCCTATTAACATAGGGGACTTCAAGCACCTTCAGTTTTTTTGATAGTCGTCCACCTTCAAATTCACGCCCAAAGCCACTAACCCTCCCAGATTTTTGGGTCATCAGAACTTCATTAGCAAAGTCTGCTTTGGGGAGACACGCTGCAATGACGTACTCCGAAAACTGGACAGGTTCCTTCAGCTTCAGTAAGGCAATGTCATTATCRTAAGTCTCAGCAACGAATTTGGAGTGAACAAGTATTTTGTCCACAGTATGCATTGTTTCAGACTGTTCCTCCTTCTCTCTGTCCACTTCCCCTGTACAAGAGTATTAAAAAGGTCATTAATGTGCAGAAAGTGTAAGAATTTAAGAACAACCTTGACAGAGGAAGATAGCAGTATATTCATTCTGAGCACTTTGCCCAAGACCTTAGAACACACAAGGAAACTGTGAACAAGTATGGCATTATTTCTTAGCAGCAACTGGATGGGCTTGGGTCCTGATCTTTGCTCTATGGAGATTTTTGTACCAGTTTACATAAAGGCCTAAGCTGATTCAGCTAAACTAATRCAACTTTCTGTGGGAGCTCTTACAGGAGCTTGAGCCTGGCTTAGAGAAGGGAACATGGTCTGGATCAAGACTACATCAGTGCAAAGATAAAGCTGTGGTGATTCTGGCTCAAAAGTGAAGCAACAACAAATCTGAATTTATTCTTTTGTGCTCTTTTCAATGGGTCAGAGCCTTCCTGAGTGTTTCTGCAGGAAAAAAACTGCCAGGAATGAGAAGCTTCCTGCAGAAACACTGCTCTGCTGAACACACTGATAGCCAACATTTCTGGAACACTAGACCCTAATCACTTCCAGCTAACTGGCAAAGAAGAAAGAGATCAACCACTATCACTTTCCACATCAGCTGCCTCTGTTGTTATAAAGCAGGATTCTCACAATAACAAGAAATTATRWAAAGCAAAACTACAGCAAAGATATRACAAACCTCAAYGAACCATGAGAAYATCTCACAGGAASTTYGGAGCACATACTCCAAAAGTTAGGTACARGAGATACTCCCACCACACAGGAGTAAAAGAAACAATCACTTACCAACAACCACTTTGATTTCTTTGGATTGGTTGATGCAATGAGCTGCAGTAAGTATAAAGTTTTCATTCAGAATTGTTCCACCACAAAACTCTTCTCCTTCCTCATTTAACAGAACAGCCTGTGAAGCAAMAAAGGTAAGTGCAGAAGGAAGAAGTGCACTTCACTGTCCATGAGCTATACACGGGTAGCTGATTTCTCTGCACACCACAGATTTGCTTCTTACTGCAACATGTACATGTCCCTCCAGGTCTCTCCTAATATTGCATTTACAGGTGCAGAGGCTACAGATGGGCTTTTACTGCTACACAGTCTCGATTCTCTTTATGTGAAGTCACATCTGGATTCCACATTACCTCACTCACAGTGCTTAGCAATGTCCCKTAGGCACTGACTGACTGAGCAGGCAGAGTGCACACTCCAGATMWCCCCATCYCTSAAACTTACCATSCCAAAGAATGTCTCAAAYACAGGAATTCATTTTGGCTTCCCCAAACTCAAAACTGAGACACAAGGGTGTATTTGTGAARCAAAAGGCCTGCTTTATCTGACATGCTCTCAAAGGTGCACTACCTGAGTGGACAGTCTCAGACAGAACCTGAATGTAACCCACAAAAATGGCCTGGGAGTCCAGCATGACCCATAAGTCCTCTCTGCGAATAGGATAGACTGCTCCATCTAAAATGGCACAAAGCCTTTCATTTTGACACTGGGAGGCTGCAGTTTGCAGAGCAGCACATTCACATGCCCAGGATCACACAGTTCAGTCCCCCTGCCACTGGCACAGCACACGGGCAGCGCTCAGAGGGCACCCAGCTGGAAGGAGCCACTGCTYACCTTCCCTCAGAGACACGCTGTGCCCACAGGCAGGGCACATCCCCACTCACCTGCCATGGGCATTGGCCAGGGAGACACTCATCTCCACCMACTATCCTGGTATCCACATAYGGAGTCTTGCCAGTAGTTCTGTTGTTGGGCTGAGGGGTTGGGCTTTCAGTGGTAATGATAAAGTCTTCCTCTTCACTTGTTTCGTTTGTGAGAAGATATTCTTGGTCACTTGTTACATTGCTATAGTCAGTGGGTAAAAGAAGAGACCTCTTTTTCCGTGTCACAACAACTTTTCCACAAGGGTATTTTACTGYAAAGAAAAGAATAATGRAATTGGAGATGGACAGAAGCACCAGAATAAGTGAAAAATTCTTGGAAACACCAAGGAAACGGAGTGAAGTAATTTGGCTCATGACAGCAATTTGTTATTATTAAGGACAACATGAGCCTTAAAACAACATCATGAGCATGTTTGACACCTCTGACCAGTCTTTTTTTAACAGAGCAAAAAAGTACAGGTGTAGGTAGCACAAATTATAATTATCTAATGCTGCCAGTTTCTATAAAAATAGTAGATTTGTTTTCTGACTGATATTTTATACTGCATGTAAGTATTTAAGAAAATTAGTTATTCCCACAATTACTTTTGTCTTGACAGCAGAAGAATTTCCTCTGGTAATTTTCTGAGTGGTACCTTGCAGAGGGTTCCAAATCACCTAGATTTTGACCCAGTATATCACAGCATCTCACAAATGGAAAGCTTTGGAAATACAAATCAGTTGTCCTCACTGTTAAATCTGTGTCATGTAGGATACTGGTGGTACAAAAGACATTCCTCAGCCATGAACCAAGACATCCCTTAACAGTGAAACAAATCTCACCACCATTGCTACTGGTTTATCACGTGGCTTTGTACCTGTTGGGACACAGTGTTTGCCATCCTCTGCCAGAGCATATCCATCTGCACAGGAACACGATACATCCTTCTGTCCATCTCTTCTGATGTTGCAGAACTGCTCACAGTCCCCATTGTTTATTTTGCAGTACTTTGGTATCACTATAAAAGAGATGGTGGGAGAAAAACTGTACATGAACACTGACTTCATAGAAGATCTGGAAGTTCTCCAAAATAAAACACACTCCTTAGATGGAATCTTCATCTCCATCTGTCAAGCACCTGAGGCACATTATAGGAATATGGTGAGTGCTGAACATCAGCTTGTGCCTTATAGAGCAGCCTCATGAAGCACACAGAATGTACTTGCCAAGACCAGGTGGGCCCAGTGAGCTTGGCTGGGTGAGCTTGGAAAAGCAGAGACAAATTGTCAGGGCAAGAATGAAAAAAACACTAATGGAGAACATAATCATGTAAATCCTCATACGATTCCTCCCTCCTGCCCTAAAATACTCTACTCCTCATCACCCCCTTGGTTATGTGGCTGAAATTTAGTTCCACACTCCTCACCCTTACTACTGGGCTAATGATACCCACTTCACGCACAAGGTCAGGGTGGCAGCTCTATGCCACGGAAGTGAGCCTCACGAAGGATTTACATGCAAAACATGCTTCCTTGCAAAGCTCCCTAGGCAGTCAAGCGCCGCAGTTCTATAAAGCAGAAACTCACCAAATTCACAGTTCTTGCCTTGATATCCATCCAAGCACGAGCAGGTGTAGGAACCAATTCCATCTTTACAGTGACCACCATAGTGACAAGGATTTGAGTTGCATTGGTTCCCATCTACAAAAACAAACCAAAACCCAAACTATTGTGTGTGTACAAGCATTTTCAGTGAACACAGAAAAGGTGTTCGTTTTAGTAAGCCACCTTTCATCCTTTCTTTTAMAACATAGATCTTGTGAGTTTCCACATTYCAGATGAAACAAACAGTAAAAWTGCAATMATTCCAAACCTGCAATGAGTCATCTACATATYCTCAGTTTTGCAATGTCTTTTTGGTGGCCACTGTATGACAGCACATACTAAAGTGGTTTTTTTTTGTGGCAAGGGAAAGGGTTTAGCTCAGTTGGTTAGAGCATGTTGCTACTATGGACAGTGTAGTGGATTTGATCCCTCTRTGGGCCATTCATTTAAGAGTTGGACTCCATGATCTTTGTGGATCCCTTCCAAATCAGAATATTCTGTGATACTTTGATAGTGGTCAGAAYATACATACAGTGAAGCCTGTAAGAGTAGAGAGGACATTACAGTATTGCAATTACTGCCTAAAGATATTAAACTTTTGGCCTTTTGCATTTCCTTATAGTTTCCTCACTGTTTCATACAAAATGCAGTATATCTAAAAAGGTGATAATTTGCTACTTTAGATAAACTGCTCTTATCCCCCTATTTTAGACCCTGTTCTGTCCCTCTTTGGAGCAGCTGAAACAGCAATGCCTGTAGCAGAAATAACAAGGAAGAAGCTACTCATTGTGAGGATCCAGCATGCTGCCTGTTGGTGTTTCTGGACTGTGCCCTTATCTGCTGCTTTGTCTGGGAACAGTTGCTGGGCTTTGTGTACTGCACCCACACATCAAGATCCCTTTTCTACCTGCACGAGGCCAAAACCAACAGCTCTCTAAATGCTCCAGCCATGGAGGCTCTGGAAACAGATGTCCATGCTTAACAGATGGAAGGCAAGGCCAACATTAACTAAAAAAAAGACAGACTCAAGGCCTACATCATAACTTCTGATTTCCGCCTCCTCGCATTGCCATTCTATTCTGTAGTGCTCTTAGCTAAGCTGCACCCTACTGTTAGAAAACACACTTATTTAATCTTACCCTACACAGTAGTTGCAGCTGTGGTAATGAGTTTTATATCAATATTGCAAAAACTCCAGGATCYCCTTCTTAAAAAAGAAGCAAGAACAAGTTGTTCTCGTAACTTGGCTGAACGTAACTGTGGTTTTCAATACTTCTGAACACCCATAAAGCATTTGTGAACTGTGGTTTAAAATGTATTAAAAGTGACATTTTTGYTAGGAGCGCTGGCACTGATGTTCAGCTGCTTGTATTCTCATGAGAAAATGGTTTGAAATATTCCAATCCTGTTTACTATAAGTTTGATGAAGGCTTTCCTTGAAATTTCAGTCTGTAGGTTGCAGAATTCATTCCCTGCTTACAGGATTGTGAAAGTCTGTGTCTTCATGGCAMCTCTATTCATTTTTCTCCAGAATCCAAAAGACAAAGCTGAGCTGTCTTTGGTCAACATTTTTGAGGAATTCCTGCTACTGTGTAAACTGAACACACACTTACCAAACACTAATACATTAAAAATCTGTCCCTGCATAGTGCTTACAAACACTAGAATCTTAGTAAATAAAACTCACACATTTAGATAAATAAACAGAAAAGACTGTTAGGTAGTATCCATTGATCTACTATCTGCCTTGAATACCAAACATTTCTGCAGCAAACAATCCCAYAAAGTGCCCTATAAGACAGTAATCAACAACACTCAGGCATGGAAGATGACAGSAAACTGGCAAATGACTGCAATGCACTCTGACTTTATCTTGGTTATGGCATTTAAGAGACATCCTCATCTGTGACTCTTTGCATCTTGAATTTTCCCATCTGCGGCTACCCCTGTGAAGGAAAACTATCTGGCAGTCACATGCACACTTTCTGCTTTTCACTGTCCTTTGCATGCAAAGGACCACTATTCTTCTTTTGAGAGGACAAACATCAGYCCAGCAATCGGAGACAGCTGAACGTTGTCTTCAAATGAAATTACTGGGCTCAAGCAACAGCAGGCAGTAAATCAGATTCCCTTTTCAGAGGAAACACAATATGAGGATGTCCCAGAGTGAAAGGAGAGGAAGCAAAGGAGYATGAAGGGTTACTTAAGAGGTGCATCCTTTCAAACCTTGAAATAAGGAAGCTTAATCTTCTGAACAAACACAGAGTGCTTCTTACCTACATAGATGTTCCAGAATTCCTCCTACAGGTAAATGTGGAAAATGGGGAATAAAAGGAAATAGAGTTAGATAAGAATAACTGAATTCCTCAGAAAAATATAAGACTTTTCATACACAGGCTACCTGCAGCTAACCACTGTTAAAAGAAATACTTACATTATAGATAAATACAGTGCCTTGCAGCCCACTGTTACAATTTAATAACTTAAAACCATTTAACCCATATGGTGCCCAGCTCTACAGAAACAAGTCTCATGCATTTTTCAGAAGTATCTGAARCTCCTTAGAGATTTCGCAGTGTGACTCATTCAGCATAAGCCACTTGATTCCTTGCACAACTGCCTTTCCGTCCATTTTGACTGAATTTACTCATATTACTGAAATGCCAAATTCTCAGTCTCCATCCCCAAACCATACTCTCATCAATCAGGACCTCAAAAATCCTGACATTTAAAAATATTTTGTCTGCTTTATGTTTTTCTTTCCCTCTGCACTGAAGACTCCAGGATGCTGCCAAGGCAGACCTTTCCAGTGACATCTGGTCACCAGGCAGAACAGGCTGTGCCGGTTCTATTACAAGTAAGTCAACATTTACGATCTCAAGTACAGTGGAGATGCACCCAGGACAACTTAGGGGCACTCCAAGAACATTCTGGCCATCAAGTAATGCTAAAGGGAAGTGAATCTGGACTTAACTCCCGTTCTGGGGTAGTTCTTAACAGCCACATAGCTACTCTGTGTTTGCAATATCACCTTTTCTACTGACTTCAGTCTCCACAGCTGCCYTATCTCTGTAACTTTTGCTTGAGCTTGAGAACAAATCACATTTCTGTCTAAAGTTAAGCAAGCCATTGGGGTAGGGCAGGTGACACAACAGTCACACATACAAACTTAATTCTGATCAACATTAAGGCATTTAAGAACTGTTCACAGTATACATTCTCTCAGTTTAGATAAAGAGAGCTACAAAATTGCAAGCACAGCAAAACTGCCCGAGATAACCTTAGTAAAATTCCCTGTCAAGTTCCATTTGATTTCTCAGAGTTCCCATGCACTGCCTTGACCATAGTCAYGGCACTCAGCTTATGTCACCCAGATAGGATGAACATATTTCCAACACTGGTAGCAACAAAGCCATTGAAGGTCAAATAACTCTCAATGGAAATTAGACAGACCAGAACAGGTAAAAGAATGGAGGCTCTAATGTGGACTGGCCTTGCAAGAGCTAATTTAAGACTTTTACAGAATCTTTATTGCCTTTGTAATTCCACCCATAGTCAATCACCATTTGTTCTCTGTGTTAAGTGATTGGAAACAACTTGTGAGTTTTGATGCCCAGCTCAAAGGGCTTGAATAGTAACTTTTTAAACATTAAATATGTAGACCTATGTTTCATATTAGTTCATCCTTACAGTTTTCTCATTGTCTTCAAAAGCTTCTCTTGCTTCTTCTTTTGAGCAGCGCTCCTCATTGCATTCTCTTTCAATATTCCCTTGCTTCATTTCTTCTAAGAACGAGTTAGCGCGTTTTTCTCTTTCCAAGAACTTGTCGGCGTTTTCTTTCTTGATGAATACTAGATAGCAGAGAAAAATTATACAGGCAGATAACATTTGGTGGTGGAAAAGAGTTATTACAAATAAGTGAAGTAGAAACAAAGCCAAAACAGACCACACTACCAGTACATAACATTACCTGTGAGGTTAGTCCTCACACAGGGTGATACCTCCCAGGATCTCCCAGAGCAGTGTCTCTCTGAGAATCAGTAGCTCCAGAACAAAGCACAGGCTCCCAAAATTCTCTCCTACTCTTTTTAATATTGAAAATAAGAATATGCAGGTTGCCAATGAGGGCTTATATTTCTGTTGTTCCTTTTCAAGACTCAGTATTGAYTGGAATGACTTCTCCTGAATGCTGGGGAGATTGCATTCCTTGATYTGTTTTTTAAGCTGACCACCAGGCAACACCACTGTCTCCAGGRGCTGTGATGCAGAAACTGAATGCCACTCAAGATGCAGCAGTGCCTCTACTAACAGATGGGAAAAGCCCACATAAGACTTCTATTGCTCTACACCACACCAAATCGCATTGGGTTCTTGGATCCTTGGAGCCCATGGATCTTCCTACCCTCTTCACAGCACCTCCCAGTTGCCTGTAGAAATGTTCCTGCCTTCCTGATATATGTGTGTGTAGAGCTAAGGCACCTGCCTTATAAGATGTTATACAGAGCGGAAGTAAACGAGCATCAGCTTTAGCAGGAAAGTACAGGCGAAGTCAGTTTGCTGAGTTKTTTTATTTCTGAACAGCTTGGTGTCACAGAAGCTTCAAACCTGCCGCCTTCAAGTTCAAGATTCAGGTAGCTATTGATTTAAACTGGAGGATCAGAGACATTAAACTCATCTCAGGCACTTGCCTGTGTGAACACCACCATCACTCTCCAGTGACTTGTGCACAAGTTACCAGGCAGGAAAAATAAAAAAAAAACATAGGAGTAAATAAGTTGCCAAATACTCTGCAAAAAGTTTGTTCTAGGAAAGTGTGAAGAGTTTGGAAGCTGGCATTTAATAAATTTCTACCACCTAGAACTTACACTGAAAAAATACTTTCCGATCACAGGCTGGAATGTGGAGAACTGTGCTAGAGATGTGACTTCAAGGACAATGGCTTATGTTCAATGGGCAGCTGGCACATACCTTCTGGATCTTTCTTCATGCAGYTTAATTCAATGATAAATAAACTTAGGGTATATAAACTTAATAGTTATATACCCTAATAGATAACATATACTCCAAGTGAGGACAGAGGAGACAGTCTGCTTTCACTAAAGCTGGTGAAATCATCTACAAGGGGACAAGTTCTGTTTGTGTTATTTATATTAACCAATCCTAAGTAATTTGAAGCCCCATTGACTGTTAAAAGGCTCCTCGCAAGGAAGGCTTATGGAAAGTGTTTGTAACTTGCAGCTCAGTGGCTGTTAGTTCATTCACCCGCTATCTTATTTGCCCTTAAATCCCTCTCTGCAGCGACGGGAAGTGATAGGACACAGCCGGTGGGGTTATCACCTCTATATTCCTTTGCTTTCACTCCACCCGCATAAACGGATGTTTTTGTAACGTTGAACTAAACAATTRGTCTTCTGAGGCTGCTCGTTCTTTTTCCCAAGCTTTCTATCATGCTTTACTCTTCACAGACATCACAGGCATTGGTCAACAGAAACAGGATATTCCAGATACATGCCAAGGACCTTGTTTTAAACTCCTGGCAGTCTGACTCACTGAGGAAGAGTTAACAGCTTTAGAAAAGGCACTTGCTGATGSTGTCTTGGACTTTGGCGTTAATCCTGGTGGCACAGTGGGCAGCGGGACCTGCTCCCCGCCGTGCCCCAGCCCCTCTACGGCCAAGCACATCCAACCAAGGCTTAGCCAGGTTTCCCCCCACACACGAGAGCAACTCAGGCTGCGAGGGCAGCTGTCCTCCCGGKGCGAACGGCGGGCAGGGCCAGCAATCCCACTTTCCTACACCATCCCCGAGATGCCCCCAGCAGCCCCCTGTCTCCGAAGCGCAGCTCGCCCAAATCACGGCGGTGTGCGGGGCAGGCACCGGTGCTGATAAGCCCTCAGACATGTGGGAACCGAACCTGGAGGTTTAGACGAGGCGTAGAGTGCCTGCTCCCCTTCCCCGCCGCCGCGGCTCCTGGCACTCTCCCAGTGCGCGCCCCCGGTCCGCAGCACCGACCCACCGCCCGCGTTCGCCCGGCAGAACCCCTCTCTCCCCGAAGCCTGTTGGGAAGGAGAATTCCCCCCTCCCGAAAACACGGAAAACGTGCCGTCTTACCGCCTCCCTGAGCGCGGAGCCCGGCGGGCAGCGCGGCGCAGAGCAGGAGGAGCAGCAGGCGCCCGGCCATGGCAGCGCGGCGGGATGCCGCTCCCGGGGCCGCGCCGGCGGCACGGCACAGCACGGCACGGCACGGCACTGCACGGCACGGCACGGCACGGCACGGCACGGCACGGCACGGCACGGCACGGCACGGACGGGACCGACGGGAGGGACGGGAGCCGAAGTCTTCACCCCCTAGGGTGGGGTGAGACTGAAACGGCGTTGCTTCACCCTGCCCAGAAATAGCGGAAGCGCCGGGACAGGGCGAAAGCCGCGGCGGGATTTCTCAGTCTGGGGGATGAGGTTCATCTTACTTTCCTTTTTT